TTGATGGTTAGGTCAAACTGCTAACAGAATCGTTCTCTCAATATTCACAGGCTGCACTGTGGGCAAATGACTAGCTCCATTTGGGGCTTTTCTGATGCTTTAATTTCTGGGTTGTGGAATTTGAAAAGCCACATATGTGTGTATATATATATATATTCATCCATCTACTGGTAATTGCAGAAGAGTTATTTCCAAATACACCATCCCATTAGAGAGATATCCCTAGTAGATTTACCAAAGACCAAAACTTCCACTTTTATAAAGGTGTACATATTTCCCTTACTAAGATACTTTTGTATATAAGACATGAATATGAATTCCCTAAACTCCGAGTCTGTTCTCATTCTCAGCAGTGCCCGTAGGTTTGGGTTGGGTTGGGTTGGTTTGTTGTGTTATCTCCCAAGCTCTGCTGGTGGCATAGTGAGGGGGTGGGGACCTTGGTTCAGCTCACCTATTCTCGCCCCTTTCTTGTCTTCTCCGAGAAGAGACTACTCAAACTCCACCCTCTTCCTCCTCTCGCACCCCTCACATTCACAGCCAATCTGTCCTCTCCAGGACTTGCCTTTCCACGGGGACTGAATCCATCCCAGGCTCTCTGTTTTTACCACATCCCTTTTCCAGGAAAGCCTTACCCTCCTGGACTGAAGGCACAGGCTCCTGAGATCTGGGTGTTTGTCTTCCAACAAATCCATTCTCAAACTCCATCTCTAAGGTCTTCAGAAACAGAATTTGGGAAGAAGTGGGGACCAGATGATGTCATAAGGATATGGGGTCCCTACATTGGCATTACTGGCCCTATGACAAGGAGGCTCTGGGGCTGGTTCTGTTTTGCCATGTGGTAACTTCCTGAAAGTTCCGCTGCTTTGGGCCTGGGGGTTCCCCCACCCTCCTTCTCCACCTCCTGCCTACTGAATGAGATAAGCCATTTCCCTTGGCCATGTGGGAAAATTTATAAAATGCAATTGTTTGTGAGATATTTGCTGTGTCCGGGGGTCCTGTGTCTGGATCTCCCTATAAGGTCTTGCCACCTGAGTGTGGAATGAAGTGGGAGGATCAGCTGAGGATTCTGATGTGGTGGTTGAGTCCATGAAGGAATGGGGGTCCTTGACGCCTTCTTCTGTTTCATAAGGAACGAATCACCCTGGGTCTGCAGGGATCTTGCTACCTGAGTGTCATCTGCTGGAGGTCCATATCCTCTTGGCCACAGAAGAACTTCCTTTCTCACATGGAAAGAGGGCCAAGAGGTGGGTGGACAAGGCTAGAAAAATGAGCAGGCAGCCTGCCCACCGAGCATCCAGTCAGCCAGGGTGCCTGACCCAAAGCTACACCTCAGTATGGAGACACCAATGAGCCATTGCCTGGGATAAGATGTCTACCCCAGGTTCATAAAAGGTTTTCTAAGGCCTGGTTCTCATTTCTGCTCCTTCTCTCCTTTCACCCTGGCTGCACCGTCCTTCTCCACCTCTCTCCACCATCTCTTCTTTAGCTTGCTGTGGCTCCCATTTCCCCATCCTTCCCTGGGTCAGCTTCAGGACCACTGTCCCTTCCTGAGGCTCTGCTCCAGCTCATT